TCAGTGGTTTGTAGAATATGTGTTCAATTCAACACCAACACCAATACATTTAATTTCTACAATCTTAAAAATCATTCCAAAACGAACAGACCACCCGTCGAAACAAGAAGGACACCGTGGACAATTACTTCCTTGCGGGACGGAACATGCACTGGCTTCCCGTGGGCGCCTCTCTCTTTGCAAGCAACATCGGCTCGGAGCACTTTGTCGGCTTGTCCGGCTCTGGCGCCAGTGTGGGCATCGGCATCGTTGGCTTCGAGTACAACGCCATGTTTGTACTGCTCATCCTCGGCTGGTACTTTATGCCCGTCTACCTCGCCTCTAATGTAAGAAACAGTAAAAAACTCCGTTAGGAGACTTTTAATTCTCCTCTTTTTGCACACAGATCAGCACCATGCCCGAGTACCTGCAGAAGCGCTTTGGCGGCCAGCGAATTCGCATCTACCTTTCCCTGCTGGCGCTGATTCTGTACATCTTTACTAAAATCTCCGCCTGTCTTTTTGCCGGCTCGCTCTTCATCAAACTGCTTCTCAATCTGGACAACCTCTACGTGGCCATTCTCATTCTGCTCTTTGTCTCGGCGCTCTTTACCATTCTCGGTGGTTTGACGACGGCAAGTGCCTCTAAAAACAATATTTTTAAAAATAACATTTCATCATTTTTTTGTAGGTCATGTGGACTGAATTTGTGCAAGTCTTCTTCATGTTCGTCGGCGCCATTGCCCTGGCCGTCATCAGCATCATCAAGGTGGGCGGGTACTCGGTGCTGACGAGCACCTTCCGCGAGGCAGGCATGCCCAATGAGACTCAGTATCAGTCGTACAAGGACGGTTGCGACCCGGCGACCACCGCCAACTGCACCTCATGCAGCGAAATCACGCCCTACTACATGAACCTCTTCCGGCCGGCGAGTGACGGCGAGGTGCCCTGGCCGGGCCTCATTGGCATGACCGTCTCCGGCGTCTGGTACTGGTGCACCGACCAAGTGATCGTCCAACGAGGACTCAGCGCCAAGAACCTCTCTCACGCCAAGGCGGGCTGCATCTTTGCGAGCTTTATGAAGATTGCACCACTTTTTCTTCTGGTTCTGCCGGGCATGGCGGCGAGGATGCTCTGGCCGAGTAAGTGTTTCTACAACAAATCACTATAAAAACCTTCTCACTTTTTTTCCATCTATCCCCAGATCAAATCGGCTGCTCCAACCCTGAGTACTGCAAGGAGGTCTGTGGCAGTCCTTCGGGGTGCACTAACCTCGCCTACCCCTACCTGGTCATCCGTCTGATGCCCGTAGGCGCCACCGGGCTGATGGTCTCGGTCATCGTCGCCGCCCTCATGAGCTCGCTCACCTCCATCTTCAACTCCGCCTCGACCATCTTCATCATCGACATTTACAAGCGCTTCCGCCGGTCGGCCACTGAGATGGAGCAGATCGTCGTGGGCCGCGTCTTTGTTGTTTTTCTGGTAGTGGTCAGCGTCGCCTGGGTGCCCATCATTGAGAGCTCGCAGAACAGCGAGCTCTTTCAGTACATTCAATCGGTGACCAGCTTTCTCTCGCCGCCCGTCTGCGCCGTCTACGTGCTGGCGCTCTTCTGGGGCCGCACCAATGAGCAGGGCGCCTTCTGGTCGCTGGTGGTAAGTTTTTATTTTGATGATGATTTTTGTAGAAAACCCTTATTTACTTTTTTCGCTAGGTTGGCCTGGTCATCGGCCTGGTGCGAATGATCCTCGAGTTTGCCATCCCAGCTCCTGCCTGCTCTTCCACCGAGCCCGATCCTCGGCCGTTCATCACCAAGCTGCACTACCTCCATTTTGGCATTGTCCTTTTTGCCATCTCGGCGGCCGTCGCCATCGTCGTCAGTCTGCTCACCAAACGGCCAGAGGAGAAAAACGTAAGGAAAAAATTGGTTTGGTAAACAAAATTATTAAACTGTTTAACACCTCACAGCTCTACCGTCTGACGTACTCCACCATTCACAGTGAAGAGGTGCGTGAAGACATCGACGGAGACGGCGACGAGGACAACGCCACCCTGAACGCAAAAACCGTCGATCTGGAGAAAAAGCCAAAGAGGGAGATCAGCAAGTGGATTTGGATCCTCTGCTGTGCCAAACCTGAAGAACCAGCAGCTGCCGAAAATGGCAACGCCGTACATAGCTACAACATTGAGAAGGAAATCGACCCGGAGGAGTTGGCGCGAATTCACGCCCAGTCCGCCAAGGATGACCCAAAGTGGGACTGGGCGGTCAACCTGGGCGGTGTGCTCATCATCTTCATTGCCTCCTTTCTCTGGGGATACTTTGCTTGAAATTAGAGGAACCTTTTTAAAAATAAAGCACAATTTAAATTGCCATTGTCTACTATCCGCGTTCACAATGAGTACAACTGAGTGAGTTTAATTAAGCGTGAAACGTGTTGCTTGATTAATTTTGAGCTAAAAGACTCTAACGGTGCCCTCTAACAGCACTCAAAAACGCGTGAAGGTGAAGATCAATAAATCAGCTTGTAGATTCACAAAACAAAAAGCAAAACAATAGCTCAATTGTCTTTTAGCTGTAGATTTGCTAATGATTAAGAGAGCAATTTATTTAATGAAAAAAATGCTATTAATGACTCTTTGTTGCAGGAACTAAGAGCAATTACTCTGGGCACTAGAATATTTGGTCCAGACTTTTTTCGGCCAAAAACAAAATGTGTGTCGTTTTTTGGTGAATGTTCTTTTGTGTTAAAAATACATAAAAATACTTTTTTTTCAAAATGCAAATCTTAAATTTTATATTTTTTAAACTCAACTTTTTGTTATTTTTAGCTGCAACAAAAACGCTCATCACTACTCAGAAATCTGAAATCTCAAATGTTAGACATTTTAACTTGAATGAAGCTGTGCTAAATGTTTCCGTCAATCAGGTAGAAAGTAGTTTTTTATTTTGAAAAAAACACCAAACTAAAATCATTTTGTTCATCTTCAGTGGAGCATATTCTGTCAGTTCCGGGTCGACAGGAGCACCCAGCAGGTGACCAGCCTTCCGTACGGCTTTGACACCGAGCTGCTGCAGCTACTGCAGCGACAGTTCAACTTCAGCGTGCATCTCGTGGATCACCATGGCGACTGGTCGCACGAGCAAGGCAGCGGACAGTGGAGCGGCGCAGTGGGCGATGTGCTCAACAATGTATGTAAAGCAAATGATAAAAAGTTGTAAACAAAATTAACATTTTTCACTTTGCATAGAGATCGCAGCTCGCCATCTGCGGCTTCATGTACACGGAGAGGCGAGCCAGGATGGTTGACTTTAGCAGCTTCATCTTCGAGTCGGAGATTACCTTCATCAGCCAAATTCCCCAGGCGGCGGTGGCCAAGGAGTGGGTCATCATCAGCAGTCTGCTGCCGTACATCGTCGCCACAGTGGGGCTGTTGGTGGTCCTCTCAACCACTCTTTACGTGCTCTACCGAATTCTGGCCAAAGTGCTGTTGATAAGCGACTGCTCCTTCTTCGACCTCTTCCTCGGCCTGTACGGCATCCTCCTGAAGCAGTCCATCGGCGTGTGGCGTCTGGTGGACAGCAGTCCACTGCGGCTAATCTACCTCGTGTGGATCTACCTGGTGCTGGTCATCTCCACGCTCTTCGGCTCGACGCTCTACGCCGTGGTCACGGTGCCGCCCAGTCGGCGGCCACTCGACTCAGTTGATGACCTGCTCAGCGCCCTTCGTCGAGGCTCCCATTCGCTCTGGTTTGTCAAAGACTTTCCCGTCGTTGAGTGGTTTGTCAACTCAAGGGCGGAGGATGCGGTGTACTACGAGATAGGCCAGAGGATTAACAAGTAAGAGAACTTGGTTCTAACTGCAACATACAAACTTTTTCAACTGTTGCCTCAGCAGCCAAAACAACACCATCTCCGATCTGAGCTTACAGATTCCCACTGTAGAGAATGGAGAGGGAGTTGTGGTCGTCTCGATGAGACTGTCGCTGGAGGTGGACAGAATTCATTACGCAAGAAAAGCGCTGCACATTGCTTCGGCCAGCTTTGGAGTCAATCGATTTGCCTTTGTCCTGCAGAGGCACTCGCCGCTGAAAGAGCCCTTCAATTGGTTGTAAGTTGTTGAAACGATAGAGTTGTCAACTTGATTGTTTGATTTGATTAAACAGAATTTGCCTTCTACAAGAGACGGGCATAACCAACTACTTGCTGGAGAATGCCATGAGCCATCTTGTTGCCAAACATTCAAACAATCAAACATCAGCATCAAAAAGTCATCGATTCAAGCAACATCAGCAGCAGGTAAACCAGTACAAGCGCCTAAGCCAAGATGACCTGTTCTTTACCTTCATCGTCCTGGCTGCCGGTCTGCTGGCAGCATGTGCCGCCTTTCTCGGCGAACTTGCAAGTTGCAACTCAAACTTGTGATTAGCAGGGACTTTTCTGCTCAAAACAACAAAACCTGTCAGATTTATATAGCTTGTGATTGAGTGAAAAAATTTGTCGCTGCTACTAAGTAATGAACTTGAGTGCCAGTACCAATTGCTGCTAAGATACGACACGACTTCTGCTTTCTGTTTGCTGACATTTATTTAATTTAATACACTTTTTGTTTGGCAATTAGCAGCAAGAGGACTGCCACCATAGATTTGCACCCGCTTCATCAAAGTGTAATCCACAAAGTGCACTCGTTCCATCGTTGATTTTTCGGTCTACTTTGAGGTTGAGAAAAGACAGCTGTCATCATTGCCAATATCGTCATTACAGTATTGTATTACAGTTACAGTACAGTTTTTTGCAGTGCAGCAAGCAAAAAGGAAAAAATCCCTCAGTGTATGTACTGTTGGTTCACTCTGTACGACACACTGTCTTCTCCTCTACACTACTCCAAACCGGACGACCTTGACTGCCACTGATTAGATTGTACAACAACACATACTCACACTTCACAAACAACAGCAGCATTGTGCACCGCTTCTGCCTCCACGTGCAATCTGCAGACAGAGAAGAAGACGAGGATTAAAAAGTGGCTGTGCAATAGTGTAAGTGGAAGTGAAAGTCGTCTGCAGTTGTTTGTATTTAATCCCTCAGGAGAGAGTGAGAGAGAGAGACAGTTTTTTGCAAGACTTCTTCTTTTGCTCAGCTGATCAACAGAATCAACCACCAAAGTTCATCATCATCATCACCTCCCTACTCTAACATGAGTGAAAATAAAAACAGTGATGATCAGCCAGCTCAAGCGGAAAATGACTGCACCGAGAAGATCGTCGGCATCTGCAATCAACTGGCACTGGGAGTGCAATTCACAACGGCAGACATTGAGATCAGCAAGTTCAAGTGAGTTTAGTTATCTTGAAAAAACTTTTTTAAATCCCATCATTTTCTGCAGAAGCGGCTTCGTAAGCGAAATCTACCTCGTCAAGTTCACCTCCCCACCGCCACCCGCCAGCCGCCTTCCGCCGGCCATTGTGGTCAAATTCTACAACGTCAGCGCGCCAAAGAGCGAGACCGGCTTCGAGGTGGTCGACTCGCAGCTGAACAACCTCTTCGCCGACCAGGCCGGCCTGGGGCCGGCCATTCTGCTGATCCTCCGCGACGCCATCGTCATGGAGTACGTCGTCGGCGGGGAGCAGCTGGCGGAGGAGCACGACCGGGTGGAGGCGATCCGGGAGGAAATTGCCCGGAAGTTGGCCCGCTTCCACGCGATCCGCTCGCCGCTGGGGCGGAACCAGCACGCGGAGATCATCCGCCAGATGTTCAGCGTGTGGATGTCAGTGGAGTTGATTGAGGAGGTGTACCAAGGGGTGCTGAGGGGCCACCTGGAGCGGCTCGGCTTGCCGCACCTCCTTGCGACCAATCTCCAGGCGGAGGCGGACTTTGTGCACGCGGCCATCAGGGCGGCGGATCAGGCAGACCCGGTGATCGTCTTCTCGCACAACGACTTCAACCACCTCAATCTGCTGGTGGCCACCGATCCGGCCACCTCTCAACCAACAGTCCGCTTCATCGACTTTGACTTCTCCACCTACTTCTACCGGGGCGCCGACCTGGGCCGGTACTTTGTCGACTGCCAGCAGCCGGAGCAGTTTCACCCCAATGAGCTGGTGCCCGACGAGGTGATGCTGCAGTTCTTCGGGTGGTACCGCGAGGAGAGTGGTCGCCTGCACGGGGCCGGCTTCCTCGAAGAGGCGCGGAACTCCCCCGAAGAGCTGCTGAAGGAGGCGAAGCTCTTTGCGCTGTACGCCTTCCTCGTGGACATCATCTTCTGCATCTTCATGGCGGTGGAGATGCTCAAGGCGAAGGACGAGGACAAGATGGTCGACTTTCTGCGGCACGGCGACACTCGCTACGCGGGTTACCTCAAGGCAAAGGCGCGCTTCCTTCAGGATGGCTCGCTTCCTTGACTTTCCCTGTAAACGACTATACAAACTAAAGGTGTAATGGCGCACTGCTGCTGTACAGTGTTCAAATCAAATGAGCAAACAGTAATAGTAAAATGAAATAAAAAATAAACTTTTGCTTCTTGCGAGTCTTGCGCACTGAGGCACACTCCACCAGTTACTACTAGTTGTGCTGATCGGAGATGGTGTCCATCTTGATGACCAGTATCTGCGAGTTGAAGACGAGCGCAATGGCGGCGTCATTGATGCCGTTGGCGTAGTGGGAGCAGCTGAAGATGGTGACGCAGTTGCCGCCGCTGTGGAACCAGTAGCCTTGCTGAGAATGATAACAAAGACAAATGAAATAAATTGGCAAAAAAGAGAATTCCCACTTACTGGAATGCACTCGTGCGCGCGAATGACGTGCGAGAGTGCGTTGGCGGCGAGGAAACGCCTGAGGGCGTACTCGCTGAAGTAGCAGGCCGTGCCGCGACGGGTGTTCGAGGGAAAGCCGTCCGGGTGCTCGGCGGTGTTGTTGGCCACCGTCGCGTCGTTGTTCATCAGGTCGGCGTGCTCCTTGTCGGTGATCGGGTCGTTCCAGAGGATCTCATTGGCCACCGAGGGGTCGGCGATCGCCTCCAGCGGACTGGGAATGGCGGCGATCTGCGAGAGAGTGGCCTGCGAGGGAATGCCCCCGTGGGCGCAGTAGATGGACTCGTCGACGATGGCCACCAGCGGCATCACATCGAAGACGGCGTTGAAGGCGTCGAAGATGGTCTCCGCAAAGCCGCCCTCAACCCCAAACTTCTCCGTCACCTCATTGTGGAAGGTGTACTCCCGTTGCAGCTGGCGCGTCTCGTGGTTGCCGCGCAGCAGGTGCACTCGATGGGGGGCGATGGCCTTCATGCAGAGCAGGTAGAGGATGCACTCCACCGAGTTGGGGCCCCGGTCGACGTAGTCGCCGAGGAAGAGGAGGTTGCTGCCGAAGAAGTAGACGTTGGAGCGCCAGACGTTCATGTCGTAGGTGAGCAGGTCGGTGAGGTTGCCGTGGATGTCTGAAATAAGAAAAAGGAGGTAGAAAAGTGTAAACAAAAAAAAACAAACAAAAACTTACCGCCAAAGACGTAGCAGGGCGAGGCGACCTTGAGGACGCGCGGCCCGCCGGCAATCAGCTCCTTCACCTCCTTGCAGAGGCTGACAATCTTCCGCACATAGGCTCGCTTCGTCTTCCGCTTCGACCAGTCGGGCAGCTCGCCGCTTTTACTTCTGCCAGGACTCCCACCACCACCTCTTCTCTTACCACTGCCACGGCGACTTCTCTTTGACCGGTGGTTTCGCTTGTTTTTCTTCCCCCCTCCTGCCTCCGCCTCCTCCTCGTCAGCGGCCGAGGCGGCGGTAGGGAAGATGCGCGCCGTGCGAGCATAGTGGCGAATCATGTCCAGTATCTGATTGCAGACAAAGTTCTCGTGGAAGAAGGCGGCCTCGTGGCG